TCTCTTCCAAGCCACTTTGGTGCATGAGGAGATTTTCTAATCCTTGGAAGAAGAAAAGGAGTTGAGAATGGTCTTAAGCCTCAGGATTTCAGGAGGGACAGCCCAATACCTATGGCTGTGGCTGTAATAGAAAGAATATAAAAGTAATAATAAAGAAACACCCCCAGTTTCTGACAGCCTTGGCCCAGTCATTTCAGTCATTACCTTTAGTAGTTGGAACCCTGATGTTTTTGCGTTGTTTTTTTTTTCCCCCCTTTTCAGGAAGTGATGTGTTTTCAGGTACCTCCTTGAAGTGGCCACATTCTAACTTTGCAGTTTGTGCACACAGTCTGCCACAGGAACAAAATCTGCAGATTTGAGTCTAAATTTACCTGTTCTTCACCTACCAGCTGGTGCCAGTGCCTGAGCCCGTGATGGGAATTCAGTCATGGGAGCTAGCCAGTGCAAACTGCCCTGCCCCAAGAGAAGCTGGCTGGGGAGAGGGATGGTCCCTGTCCCTTTGAAAGGTAGTTTGGTCTTACATGATGCTCTTAAGTGACCAAATGCAAGCACAGCAGCTGAAGCTTCAGAACCTGCTGAGGGCCCTGAAATTGTAGGTTTTTGGTGTCTGTCCTCCTTCTGTGGCACTGAAAACGTCTCACTGGGTTGGTGTAAGAGCTCCACCCAGCCTGGCCTTGAACACTTCCAGGGGTGGAGCAGCCACAGCTGCTCTGGGCAACCTGTGCCAGTGCCTCACCTCCCTCACAGGAAAGGACTTCTCCCCAGTATCCCATCTAACCCTGCCCTCTGGCAGTTTAAAGCCATTACTCCTTGTTATATCCCTACATGCCCTAATATTAGGGACCCTTTGTATTCTTTGCCCCAAAATCCAACCCAGGCTGTGCTACTTAAGAGAATGGAGCTTTGGTCCTTATAACCCTCCTCTTTGCCCCAAAAAGGCAAATTTGGTGCCTTTTCTTCCAAGCAGGTAGGAATGACAAAGAAGGGAAGGGGAAGAAGACTTGAGGATACATAAGGTCTTTCCTGTCATCTTTGGCTCTTCCTGCACAGCATTTCTCCAGGTCAGGTGTGGTCAGCAGCAATTTCCAAGACTGATGTGTGTAACTGGAGGACGCCTGGAGTGTAGGGATGGACCTTTGTTGTGGGATAAATCCTGATACATAACCTCATTGTGTTGGCTGAATCCTTTATTGCTGACAGTGTTGGTGTGGCAATTTGAGGACCTAATGGGAATCAGCTGCTTTTCATAAAAGAGGGAAAACCCCTACGGATGAACCTCACACTAGACCCTACATCCTGGAGCAGCTGCTTGGGCCTGCAAAATGATTGACTTTTCCTTCCAAATTGAGACAGGAGGAGAGGACAAGAGGATTTGGGGAGGGGATGGTCCCTGCAGAGAGAAGAGCCCCTCCTGATGGAGCTGTTATGGCACAGCTTAGCAATGACTCATCTGTTCAGTGCAGGATTGATGCAGCTTTCATCTGTGCACACAGGAGACAGATGAATAGATGTGTTTGCTAATTTGCTGGGAATTGAGGCAGAAAAGGTGCCCTTCAGGGAGCTAAGGAATGCTGGTCCCTCTGTCAGCCTGTTGCTCTGGCTGAGGGGCAGCTTGTTGCTCTGGGTGAGTTTGACTGCACTGACCTTGAGAGCTGCAACACCAGGAGTATCTCAGGA